TTTTGGACTTCAACATCGGACATCATATGGTCAATTTTAATGTTTTCTTTGGTGTGTTCCCATGTGTTAATATGAACAAGTTCATCGAATTTAATACTATTGTTAGTAAAATAATCGATATAACAAATATCGATATATTTGTTATATAGTGATTCAACGACTTTGATTCAAACATCGAAAAGAATTGAGAATACAACTTATTGTGAAAATAAATACCATTACTATTAAAAACGCAGAGATGATTAATAGTATATTTGGCACTATACAATTGTCTTGTGAACACACTCATCACAAATTGTTTAACTTTGTTGCTGGTAGTGCATTCATTGCATTTCTGTTTTTTTGAATTGTATGACTTACAATTTGTGAGTTTATCTCATTTGACACATTTAAAAGTTTGAGATATTCAAACATATTGTTTTATATATAATAAACAAGTTGTTTTTTTATTTATTTACAAGTCGTATAAATAACCACAATTTGTGCATTTGTAATAATTATTTTGAAAATACACATCATAACACTCAGCACATTCATACTCTAAAAACGTCTTGTAATTGTCAAGTGGAGTGTAAATTAAACACTTCTTATCTTCTCTTGTTGAAAATTCCAAATCTTCATCAGAGCGACTTTTGACATTATATGTTACCCAATTTGAAGAGGTTTAACACAAGTCAAAAACTTCCATTAGTATTTCAAGCAATTTGTATTGATTGCTTAAAATGAAATTCAGTCAACACCACTACAAACTGTGGGTTGAAACAGTTTGCATTTCCCAGCAAGTTTATTAACATAAATTCAAACATCATCTGTTGTGTCAAAATTATACTCAACATCGTTTGTAACACAACATTTCCATATCAGCTTTAGCCCTTTCTGTCACATTGTAAACATTCGGTACCACTTGGATAATACCCATTGTCGCACTGTTCACACCCAGTTTATGTTGTTTTCTTTGTGATACACAGTCTTCACTAAAGTACTACAATCAATATACATTTACAAATAGATTTGTGTTTCGAATTGAAAACAATCGATGAATTAAATTGTGCCTTTTTCACTACTATTTGTTTATGTTTTCATCCTTTTTTCTTCACAAATTGAACATTTGAAATAAATGAGTAGACATTTTGGCGATACGGAGTAAACAGATTAACACGTTTTGTGTCAATGTATATTCGGCATTCTTTACACGGAGCGCATTGTTTGTCGTTGTTCATTGTGTAAATTGTAGAATTGCAATGGGTTTTGTTTTAACATTATCCACCACCTAAATAGACAATATCCATTTGAACACATAGTGCATCCACTCAATATCAACTTGAATACCAAACAATTCAAAAGTAAAATACAATTTCATTAACAACAATCAACTTTTGTTGTGTGATTGTAATTAATGTAAATCAGTTTAAAAAATTAAACATGACTTTTGATTTAAAAATTTCAGTAGATAATTTGAAAACTTTGATTTTAACACAAAATTGTTCTTTTTCCATTAATAATTAAAGGAAAAAACTGAATTGATAAAATTGAAAAAAACTGTTATTTGGTAAAAACGGGAAAAACGGAAATAATATTTAAAAATATTATTAATTTATTAAAAATGTCAATAAAATAAGAGTTTTATGACGTAAGGTACTTTACGTTGTTTCCTTAAGTTATACAAAATTTCATTCATTATATCCTTATCTTTGATAATATAAATACTCCAAATAAAAATATAACTTTTAAACAGTTTTACTAAATAATAATAGTATTTATTAATAATTAATATATAAATAAAAATAAAAAGTAAAAAAAGTACGAAAATCGAACAAACACAAAACAATAAACTGGAATTCACAAGTCGACAGCACTTAATTTAATTTGGTCTATTTTAATGCAAATCATTAGGAAACACACTATTCTATTTATATTTTGAATTGATTTTCGAATTCCAGTATATATAATTTGAGAAATAAACAAAAAAAACGTTTACATATTTTAGTAAGTTTAATACACTTATTAAATCAGTTGATTTTAGAGCTATTGAACTAAAGGTGGAAAAAATTAACAACGATTTTATACCACCAAAGGCGTGAACTAAAATGAATGTTCAGTAGACCTACTGCTGTTCAAAAAATATTATTGTGAATATCAAACGGTTGTTTGTCCGGTTGTTTATTCCAATTTTAAAGTTTGTTACTTTAATAAATGCTAACATTTTTAGGAAAGTGGTTTTTGAGTGAAGTCCTTTATGGGTGTTCTGACATGATGATGGTTATTTTAACAACAATTCAACCACTACTTCATTCAAATTTAAGAAGACTTAGCGGAATGCCACAATTACACTGATGGGAATAAATGCATCTTTTAGACAACAAACTAATATTTGTTTGAAAACACTAGAAATGTGTTGCAACAACTAAATATTCATTTCTGTACTACAAATAGTCAACAACAGCACCACGTAAAAAGTGCAAAATCTGGAAGCAATTGTTTTATGGGTGAGACGTACTCAAAGTTTTTGTCTTGTATTGACAGATTCAATTTGGTCAATGAAGGAACGTGTTTTGCATGAAATACAATTGTTGTTTATGGAAACTGCAAATCGACACTGTGTGTATCACGTGAACAACTGAAAATTTCAACCAGACAAAATTTGCAAAAAGAATGTCCAGAAGCGTATTTTGCAAATGAAAATGTGTGTACTGTTTGCGTTGAGAACTTACAAGACATGTAATGAAGAAACTAAGTGCATTGTTTGCAAAGACGATGCTTTGATTATTGAATCCACCAAAAAGTGTGTTAAAGACAGTCGTATAGAAATTTATAAGAAAGTGCTAAAAAATGTGCAAGAGATGCAAAAAGTTTACAAATTCGACTGATTGTCAAGAGTTTGTTGCACTAAAAATGAAAGAAGAAGGAACAATGAAGTGTGTTAAAATGTGAAATAGATTCTTTAATGTTAACAACCAAAAATGCGATAAGTGAATGGATAAATTGAAAGATGTTCACAACAAAAGAAAAATGCGATAAGTGTAAAGAGAACTTTTTTTTCAAAGACACTTACCATACGCCGTGCAAACAGGGCAACACTGGATGTGAAGTTTGAATAAACAAAAGTGGTCATTTGTGAATTTGTGTTGCAGCTTTGGTATTTGTCTTGGTGATCGCATTCTAAGTTACTTTTTTAATTGATTATGGTTCAAAAATCGGTGTTTAACAATAACAATTCAAATTGATTATGTAATTATCATAATTACAAATTACAAATTACAAACAATGGGAATGAATATTTTAAATTTAATATGTTACTAATAAATTGATTAAGCTCAATTTATAAGTCTTAATCGTATATTGAGAAAAACGTTCATTTTGCATCTCCATCTCTAAAAATAGAATTAATTTACTATTTGATATAATTATATTATTAAAAATATAGTAATTAGGAATTATAGTTCATATTTAATCTGATTTATGAAATAAAAATTTGCAGAACAGTCAGTGGATACCGAGTGATAGTGCTTTGATAATAAGGCTTATAAACCGCACTCAAACAGAACTTATTGAAACTTTATTTTTGTTAAGGTGGTGGCAAAAGCAAGTCTTGTATATTTACAATTCAACTCTATATTATAAATTATAGAAATTTATTATTTATTATTAACTTCATAAATAATGTTATAATTTATAGTAAATTAAATTATTAAATAATAATACAAAAATAAAATTCATAATAATTGCAACTTAAATATTGATGAGGCAATAGAAAACAAAATTTTACCGTTCGACTAGGATTATTCTAAAAGTATGTCACTTTATATTTACAGATAGAATTTAAAAAATAGATTAAAGATATTTTAACACTTTAATACGAAATGGAGATACATAGCATTATAATATGAGATTTTCAAAAAGCATTTGTGGTCTAAGGGCAGAATTCCACCCTTCCAAGGTGGAGATCCGGGTTCGAGTCCCGGCAAATGCATTATTATTTATCAAACATATGGGTACAAACTTTTCAATTTTTGGTGTTATTATCCTGTAATAATTGAAAATATCACATTTTCATTTTTCAGCAATATTATTATTAAACACTTTATTAACACTTTTAATGACACTTTTGGGTTTAATGATTTTAATATTCTCAACTCAATTTCTGTTACTTTAAATGAACTATGAATTTAATTAAACCAGACTTTAAATTTATATTAACATTTTTAGAATTATTAATTGTATTCAACAAAAATTATAAAAACAAATGATTATTTTAAGGCAAAAACAAAACTTTTCCCTTTTGATAACTTCTGTTGTTAAGTGCGAGCAATGGACAGTTTTTCACGACTATCTGCACGCCTTTAATTTTTCCAATAAGTCGTTTCAATGTCTTGCACGATTGCACGTGTATCTTTGAGACATTTTCC